TACACCCATTCCCATAGGAACACCCGCACATCCTCTCCCACACCTTCATTCGCACACCCTCAACACCCCCACACCCAGAATAGATTTGAAAATTTTTTTTATGAACATTGACTATATCAGATATCATATATCCAAAGGCAGAACTTTTACAGAGAAAATTTTCAGACCAGTCGATCCAGTCTCATCAGTTCAATCTAGTATCGATACTGATGGTCTAAATTGTAGAGCTATTTTACCTCTGCTCTCTGAATACACCGCGAGTGTACGACACATGGAAGTATCAGTGTGTGAAAACTATTTCATTACTGTTAGTAGCTATCGAGATCGAGTTTTCAGCACTTGATTGTTATTTTCAGTAGCTACAAAACTAGCTATGTTTTAAACGTAAAAACTACTGATTTAGCCGAATTTTAGGTCGGAAATTCACAATTGTAATTAAGATCAGAATCAGCATTGGGATTGGCGCTAAAAGCTGGGTCGAACTTTATATGTCGAAAATTTTTCGGAGATAAATGTATTTGCTATGGAAAAAAAAGACTAGAGGTCTTCTGTGTCGGTCATTAGATAATGATTTACCTTGAAATAGTGTTTATTTCATATATTATTTTGTTGTTCAGCATCTGTTGACATGAGAGCAGTTCGTCTACTTTAGTCCACATAATGAATAGGTTTCCCCACAGATATCATTTCTTAATGGTCCTTCAAGAATATGCTGTGTGAAAGAATGGCTAAAAACCAAATAAAAATAGATGTTTTTGTTAATAAAAATCAATTATGTAGGCTCAATTTTTACAAGATTATAATCGTCTTTCATCATTTTTATTCTATTATTTTACTTTTGATCGTATTTTAATAGATTCCTTCCTATTTTTTATCAATTTGAATCCCTATAATCAAAGAAGCCGCCATGATTGAGTGGTAACGTTGTTCGACACGCACCCACAAAGTACTGTGTTCAAACCTCAGTAACATCACCCATGGAATGACTCTGGACAAGTCCCTAACGGCTAAGTTGTCTCTAATGACGCATTCCACATGAGTCATTCATACTGACTATATCTTTAGCCAGTATGCTGGGCAGAAGAGGGTGCAGATACCGCCGTCTGTTAAAAGAAAAAGGTGAAAGAACCCGGCTGCATGTAGAAACTGTTAATAATAACGGCGGCCGGTCCCAAATGGCGATAAGCCTATGGAACGTTATTATTATTACTATTATTATTATTATAATCAAAGAATGACTCACTGCCCATTCGTGTCACCTGCCCAAGTGTGATATGAGTGTGAAAGATTGCTGTGGTGTTGTACTAACATTTGTAAACATGGGTATTGCGAAAAAATAATAAAACATTACGGTCCAAGGTTAAAACTCAACATAAGCGCTGGTTTTAGTCACTAGGACTGAAATTGATAAAAAAAAACATCTGATTTAAGTCTAGTGCCAATGGTACCATTAAAGTACTCTTTTAATCACACAAAATCTCTATGCTAATGTAATATTTAGCCAGCTTTTTATATAGGTGACTCGAAGGTGTGTTTTTATGGAAAAAAAACTATTTTCTCAGAAACCATTGAAAGAAATGGAGATCAACTCAGTTTTTAGAGCTGATTTCAAATATGATAGTAGTTTTTATTGAAATCGTCGTTTTATAACTGAAAATCGACTAATTGTTAGCTAATACCATATCAAATTGTGTGAAGATATGGGTCAAGTGATGAGTAGTTTATGAGTGTAGAAAAGAGATAATTGCGTAGTTATAACAAAGGAACCATTTAATAGCAAAAACCCGGTATCGATAGATACTAGCATTTATGAAGTACAACTAATAAAATGGCAATTTTATTGATCGGATATTCATCATGCAACTATGGGGAGTATCCATGATCGTAATTCTGATTGGTCTAGGTAGAAAATCACTATAAAATAAGTCATTCTGGTCAGATTTGCACCTTTAGAACGAATCTGAACTCGGTTATCCTAATTTTCAAGGAGGATATGGATGTGAGTGGGTGTAAGTGAAGGAAGAATCCACACCCACACCTACACCCACACCCCTACACTCGCACCTCATCTGCATCCACATCCACACACTCACAACCATCCTTCTCATGCAAAGTGCTTTGATCGATAGGTAAGTTAATGATTTCTATTTTTCTATTGTTGAGTTGTCGATGTTACATTCATACAAGAAGGATCAGGTTCGGTGATTGCGACCTCACGAGTTTTCGAACATATCGAGCAGCTAAATATATTGTTACTCGAAGCGATGAATAATGAATGTGGGAATGATTTTGCATCGACTGATGTCGATCGTTTTTATTATAAGCTTTCCCGAGTGCTCCTGATTAAATTTATTGCAATTATCAAGAAGTTTTTTACAATCTCAGTCACAAAAGTAGATTTATTGAATTAGCACAAACCAAACACTATTGCATTAACCACAAAAAAACTGTGTACCGCTGATCTGATTGCTGTAATGAAGATCGCTATCGTTTCTGAAATACTTCAAATAATATTCATAAATATCGCTTGAAGATGAATATCCGACCATTGTAAAATTTTTTACAATATCATTTTTTGTAATACCACATTGGATTAATGATTTGAATGCGTTTAAAGACTTTTCGGTGGCGTAATTGCCAATGAGACCAATACCTTTTAGAAAACAAAAGGATATCATTCAATATCTCAAAGTGCTAGCTTGGGAAGCAATAAAAACTTTTATGAGTCAGTTCATGCAATCTAAGACCGACACTCAGAGTATGTGTTCATTGAGAATGTCCAGATTTAGGCTAATTTAGGCATGTAGCGAAACTCATACTCTTATGAATTTCCTCCCAAAAACTTTGAAATAAAGTTCTTTTATATTTGAACAAGGATTTTATCAGTCAAACTAAGAGTTTTTGGGAATGTATACACTAAGTAGTTCTCGAAAAACAACCGTTCAGTCCAAACGGTTAAGTTCTTGGTTTTCATAGATCACACTCGTGAAAGATGGCCCAGAAGTTCTGACTGATTTGAATATTAAATTTTTCTTTAGCAAAACACGTGGTTGAAAATTTGTCTCTGTAAAGAAAAGATGCAGTAAAACATGCTCTACAAAATGGCTTTTAACTGACTCGGCTAGCTCATATAGTAAGAAAGTCATAGGTTTAGAAATATGCTTCACAAAAAATAAAAATTAACGGTAAACATGATGTCGGTATTTTTGCTCGAACTCCTGTTCCATAGGTCGCTCAGAACAAATTCGTTTTTTTTAATAGAAGCGCCATGAAACTCTTAACAAAAGCATACCTAAACTTTTATTTCAGAACTTCAATCAAGAAAACTAAGAAAATTATGTGGTAGATGGGAAAAAAATGAAAACATGGTAAATTTGGTAAATTTGGTATTTTTTTCAATCGAAACTTTTTCTTTTCTTATTATTTCAGTGAAGAAGCTTAGCAAAATGAAAACTGAATTTGTGTTTGGTAGATTCGAATGTATTATTTCTCGTGGTCTGTAGAAAGATTTTTTTTTAGAGCAGATGGTATGCTCCAGAATTAAGTCTTAAAAGTGGTATACCCCCGTTCTCGACAATATATCCAAGCAAGAAGCAGAAAACATGATGAACGTTTAATTTTGTAGCTAATTAGAGAAGAGCAATTATTTCTAATTAAAACGGAACAAACCCGATCGAAAATTTTTTTGTTTTGATGGAGTTACGGGACTTTTACTTATAGTACCATCATACGAAGAAAGTTCATGGTTAATTTTACACTTTTGTGACGCACATCTCTAAGCCTATAACCTTCTTACTATATGAACTAGCAGGGTCAATTAAAGGCCATTTCGTAGGGCGTGTTTTACTGCATCTTTTCTTTATAGAGACAAATTTTCAATCAAGTGCTTTGCTAAAGAAAAATTTAATATTTAAATCGAGTCAGGACTTCTGGGCCACCCTTTAGAGATAAAAAGTCACTATTCCAAATAAAAATAGTAGAGTTGTATGTTTATTAAAAATTTAAACTCCTGAAGTCTTTGGGTTTATCCAAGAAGACATTGTCAAATTTGGATTTTTAATGAAGATTCTGGTTTTCAATTAACTTTTTTCTACCAAGAAACTTGTCGTATTCAGCCCTGATATTGAAGGAACTAAAGACTGATGTATCGTCTCTAGTCTCGTGAGAGAATTAACGTGGGATCTTTAGAAACGACTCAATAACAGAATAATCTTCGGGAGCGTCAAAAAGAGTGCGATTATCCTTTACTTCGGACTCTAGTTGATCATTAAATATCGTGTTAATCATCTTATCTATGTAACTTGGAATGGAGAACACAACCATAAAAGAAACCAAGAAAAATGGTGCACTAGATGAAAAAATAGGCATTCTTGCCGAGAACGACAAAAGATGATGTTACAAATAATTCTTTAAAAAATTTTTCTCCGTCGGTAGTACGACAGTGCACTCGAATCGAGAATTATAAACATTTTAAACATTATAGTGGTGTTTTGAATCTTCAAAAACTTTGGTTCGCCAATGATTTCATAGTAGTAAACTAGGATTCCGAATTTGAGACGTAGCGTATATCAAAAAGTTTAATCTAAAACATATTGTCTATAATTTTTAACCTATTGGAGTTTAAAGGATTCAAATGATAGAGACTGAAAGCCTAAATTTGACAACATCCTCCTGGGTGAACACGCAGATTTCAGTGACTGATTGAGGACAATAACTTAGTGCATTCATCCACAAAAATTTTTGTTCGACTGGAAAAGTTGTTATTGACATGTAAAATCTGCGAAATCCTTTCTGAAGAAGAACTTTATTTCATGGTTTTCGAAAGAGAACCCATAAAACTATGAGTTCTACTGCATATCTTAAATTGAGTACTGTTTGAGTAATTTGCTTGAGCTAAGTCGGTTGTGGTCTACATTGAGTGACTTTTATCAGCATATACACTAAAATTCAACTGAAATTTTAATTGCTTCTAACAAAGTTAAAATCAGGTCGACAAAGAACTAAAATGTGTTGCTCAAGGAAGTTAAAAAAAGGAGTTTATTCTTACCCAATGATTTAAAATTATAACCAATACAATGTGCACCAACATATGCCCAACCTCTTCCTCTATAAATTTGTTGTTGATCATCACTATCACTACATAGTAAAAAATTGTAACCAATATCAGCCCAACCGCGTTGTTTCATTTGCGAATCTTGAAGATCTTTTATTGTTTTAATACAATCTTGTTGATTGACAATTGAATTCGAAGCTGGTAATTGTCTTATAACAATATGTGCAACCGGTAGTGTTTTTAATTTCTCACGACTTATATATGGCTGTGCATCCCAGCTAGACCGGTTTAATATATATGGACAACCTAAAAAAGATGCATATAAGCATGTGTATTTTGTACTTGTTCAAGAAAGAGTAGAATTTTTAGTATTTTTGCAAAGAATAGTTTACTCTAAATACATCAAGTTTTATGAATCCGTTAACTCAGCTATAAGGTTTACATCCATGCTTGAGGTCTATTAAAAATATAGAATTAGAGAATTAACTTCCCTATTTGAACTCAGAGTCAATGTTTTTAATTGGCAATAAGAAAATATTGAACTTGAATTAATTCCCTAGACTGAAAGATGATGAATATTAATGCTATTAAATGTTTGTTAAATGATCAAATCCATTTAACACAATTTCCATGAAGCTAAAATATGAAACACGATACAACGGTTTCAGAATGATGAAAAAGTTGCTTGTTATTTTCCTTGTGATCCAATAAAAGATTATGAGAAAATCATTTCCAAGTGTCTGTGACAATATTTGATAATGACTAATATACAGGATCACAGAAGAGAAAAATAAACCTCTTTGAATTCGGGATTTCAAATCAATTCGAAATCCAATAGATCTAAATTCCATCTTCAGGAAGTCCGAGGTTTCATGGTTCTAAAATCCGAGAATCAACGGTCGAGAAAACCGAAACTCAGAAGCATGAAATTTTAAGTTTCGAAAAATCATATTACTATGTTTGCCATTGTCTTTTGGAAAGACAGAGTTCTCTTTTCTTGCTATATGATGCAATGCTTACTATCAATCGTGTTTTAAACTTCGAAACTCTGCTTTTCCTTTGTCACATCAACGTATCTGTGGCAACATAATACGAGAACAAAAAGACCGTATCGTACTAAACAGCCTAAACTGTTTTGGAGTTCGGGATTTACAGCCGATGGATCGAAATTCAAAATTTCCGCTAATATCACACAGAAAGAAGCCGAAAAATGTCTAAGTATGAAGGTCAAAAAAGTTTTATAATTCAATATGGCCACATTTGACTTTCTACCGTGCTTTTCTGTATACTAGAAACAACATTAGCGTGATCGAAAAATGTCGATATGTCTGCTATTTTCTGAAGGAATATTCACTTTCCTCGCTATATACTCCAAAATTCGTTACCAATCTTGTTTCAGAAATAATCGAGAAGTTGACTTAAAAATTTCACGAATGTAAAATCAATCAATAGGAAAAATACAATTTAACAATAGTCTGACACATAAACAAAATGAATTAATTACCGCTTCCAGAACCTAGCCTTTGAATCTATAGAAAGCATGTTTTTAATGATACCATTCATAAAGTATCACAGACATTTCAATATGTTGCTTTTACAACGACAATGTGAACCTAAATATATGGTATAAGAGACCTTGTTTAGGATGAAAATGGATACATTGTATTACGCATTGAAATTCTATACGGATAGTATTGCATTTCTCCAAAATCAAAATTTCCTAAATTTAATATAACACAGCCAAACTTATTGAACAGACATTCAGATGAACTTTACTTGTTTTCTTAAAAGTCAAAATATATATTTCAGAAAAGTTGGAGAGAGATTTCACATATAGGATTGCGAAGACTTTTAAGAAACATGACTGCTGGTACTAGTACAATTCGTCACACGTCAATTCGTCGCAGAATTTCTTTCGTTCTGTCTATTCATCGCATATCATTTTTTTTCGTTCTGTCGTCGCAGCTTAATATTGTTCCAATAACATATTGAACTACTATCAATTGATTTTTTTTAGAAAGATATAAAATTGATCAATTAATTCATTAATATTTTCCGTACTATAGTTATACATGAGAGAATGATGAACAAATTGTTTACCAAAAAAAAGAAAAAAAAAGTCAGAAAAAGTGAAGAAAAAGAAAAAAAATAAAGCCAGAAAAAATGAAGAAAAAGAAAAAAATCAAAGAGTAAGGTTAACAGCAATATTTTGTAAGAATTGTATACCGTAAACGTTCAGATTGAATAGTTAGGTATATTTTCAATGTCTTCAATATTTACAGTATGTAAAATAATTATTCGGACACCTAGTAACGTTCATCTTGTAAAGTAAATTTCGCAAGCAAGGAAGAACACATTTTCAACTTCTTTTATATCATTCGATAGGCCGACGTCTCTATTTTCATCGAGGAAAAAAAGAGCTTTTCTCAAGAATGTTTTCATCTCGTTTTCAAGGTTTTTCAAGAAACCACTCGATTTTTTGAGCAAAATAATTATTCGGACACTTTCCTTTTTCTTTTTATTATACCTTTATTCTGCATGTAAATATTTTGAGTCATACTTCATTCGATAGAGAAAACGATTCTCTATGCACCGCTATTGCTTAAAAGTGTAAATAATATTTTTAGAACTCTGAAAATCTCAAAATACCTAGAGCCCCTAGGTTTTTCAGAAGATCTTCGCTTTTTTACATTTTATAAAATATAAATTCAGATCAAAATACATGATTCGATAGAGGAGAAAAAACTGAATCGAATCATGGCATCTGTTTTCAAGAATATTTAAATAAATGACGCACTAATTGCTAATTATGATTAGTCTTTTCTATAGATGTATCATTATTCTCGATTTTTAGTCATCAAAATCCAACGGAAATTTCATTTGAAAAAGAAAAGCCTAGAGAAAATAAAATTCTCTACAAAATCACGTGTTTAACTATACAAGAATTATTTTTCCTCGATAAGTTAAGACCGTAGTATTCCAAGTTCAATTTTCAGTCCGAAAGGGAAAAATTTTCTTTCGTTATATAGCTACGTATACGCAGAACG